ACACTTTCACCCAGTTCTCCTCTGAATCATTCAGATGTTCATTGGCTAACTTCAGACGGGCATGTATATGTGCTTTCTTGAGTAGGGGGACCTTGCGGGCGCTGCAGGATTTCAGTCCTTCACGGCGTAGTGTGTTACCAATTGTATTCTTGGTGACTATGGTCCCAGCTGCCTTGAGATCATTGACAAGATCCTCCCGTGTAGTTCTGTACTGATTCCTCATCGTTCTCATGATCATTGCAACTCCACGAGGTGAGATCTTGCATGGAGCCCCAGGCCGAGAGAGGTTGACAGTTATTTTGTGTGTCTTTCATTTGCGAATAATCGCACCAACTGTTGTCACCTTCTCACCAAGCAGCTTGGCGATGGTCTTGTAGCCCATTCCAGCCTTGTGTAGGTCTACAATCTTGTCCCTGACATCCTTGGAGAGCTCTTTGGTCTTGGCCATGGTGGAGAGTTTGGAATCTGATTGATTGATTGCTTCTGTGGACAGGTGTCTTTTATACAGGTAACACACTGAGATTAGGAGCACTCCCTTTAAGAGTGTGCTCCTAATCTCAGCTCGTTACCTGTATAAAAGACACCTGGGAGCCAGAAATCTTTCTGATTGAGAGGGAGTCAAATACTTATTTCCCTCATTAAAATGCAAATCAATTTATAACAGTTTTGACATCAGTTTTTCTGGATTTTGTTGTTGTTATTCTGTCTCTCACTGTTCAAATAAACCTACCATTAAAATTATAGACTGATCATTTCTTTGTCAGTGGGCTAACGTACAAAATCAGCAGGGGATCAAATACTTTTTTCCCTCACTGTAGTAGACGCTTTTATCCAAAGCAACTTACAGTCATGCGTGCATACATTTTTGTGTATGGGTGGTCCCGGGGATCGAACCCACTACCCTGGTGTTACAAGCGCCGTGCTCTACCAGCTGAGCTACAGAGGACCACCACTGGTGCTGCCACCACCATGCTTCTCGGGGTGATGAGAGGTGTTGGGTTTACGCCAGACATAGCGTTTTCCTTGATGGCCAAAAAGCTCAATTTTAGTCTCATCTGACTAGAGTATCTTCTTTAGTATCTAATTTGCATTTTATTACATGACATAAGTATTTGATCACCTACCAACCAGTAAGAATTCCGGCTCTCACAGACCTGTTAGTTTTTCTTTAAGAAGCCCTCCTGTTCTCCACTCATTACCTGTATTAACTGCACCTGTTTGAACTCGTTACCTGTATAAAAGACACCTGTTTACACACTCAATCAAACAGACTCCAACCTCTCCACAATGGCCAAGACCAGAGAGCTGTGTAAGGACATCAGGGATAAAATTGTAGACCTGCACAAGGCTGGGATGGGCTACAGGACAATAGGCAAGCAGCTTGGTGAGAAGGCAACAACTGTTGGCGCAATTATTAGAAAATGGAAGAAGTTCAAGATGACAGTCAATCACCCTCGGTCTGGGGCTCCATGCAAGATCTCACCTCGTGGGGCATCAATGATCATGAGGAAGGTGAGGGATCAGCCCAGAACTACACGGCAGGACCTGGTCAATGACCTGAAGAGAGCTGGGACCACAGTCTCAAAGAAAACCATTAGTAACACACTACGGCGTCATGGATAAAAAATCCTGCAGCGCACGCAAGGTCCCCCTGCTCAAGCCAGCGCATGTCCAGGCCCGTCTGAAGTTTGCCAATGACCATCTGGATGATCCAGAGGAGGAATGGGAGAAGGTCATGTGGTCTGATGAGACAAAAATAGAGCTTTTTGGTCTAAACTCGCCGTGTTTGGAGGAAGAAGAAGGATAAGTACAACCCCAAGAACACCATTCCAACCGTGAAGCATGGAGGTGGAAACATCATTCTTTGGGGATGCTTTTCTGCAAAGGGGACAGGGCGACTGCACCGTATTGAGGGGAGGATGGATGGGGCCATGTATCGCGAGATCTTGGCCAACAACCTCCTTCCCTCAGTAAGAGCATTGAAGATGGGTCGTGACTGGGTCTTCCAGCATGACAACGACCCAAAACACACAGCCAGGGCAACTAAGGAGTGGCTCCGTAAGAAGCATCTCAAGGTCCTGGAGTGACCTAGCCAGTCTCCAGACCTGAACCCAATAGAAAATCTTTGGAGGGAGCTGAAAGTCGGTATTGCCCAGCGACAGCCCCGAAACCTGAAGGATCTGGAGAAGGTCTGTATGGAGGAGTGGGCCAAAATCCCTGCTGTAGTGTGTGCAAACCTGGTCAAGACCTACAGGAAACGTATGATCTCTGTAATTGCAAACAAAGGTTTCTGTACCAAATATTAAGTTATGCTTTTCTGATGTATCAAATACTTATGTCATGCAATAAAATGCAAATTAATTACATAAAAATCATACAATGTGATTTTCTGGGTTTTTGTTTTAGATTCCGTCTCTCACAGTTGAAGTGTACCTATGATAAAAATTACAGACCTCTACATGCTTTGTAAGTAGGAAAACCTGCAAAATCGGCAGTGTATCAAATACTTGTTCTCCCATAGTGGAACCCTTTTTTGGTGCTATATAGAATATTGTTTAATGGTTCTTTATTGAACCTTAGAACAGAGTTCTTTATAGCACCATACAAGTTCCATTTAGAACCTTCATGTTCTTAGAAGTAAAGGTTTGGCCACACCGGCCGAACCTTTCCAGTTGAAAAAGGTTCCTCGAGGAACACCTCTAAAAAGGTATTCGAGGAACCCCTGTGAAAAGGTTAAAACCAGAACCTTTTTGTGATGGGAGGGTTTCATTTGTGATCCATTTTTAATAATATATTGTAGAGGTGGCAGCCTATCAGATTGGAGGCGTGGCTCGGGATAGTTATTTTTGGTCACCCGTTAAGTTAAATGTAATTCCTGTTCATCATGTTAAGTTTGTAGGCTGCAATTTAAAAAGCGATGTGAATATTTATGCATATTACATATTCTAATATAATATTAACATTGCTGATTGCATACAGTAAAAAGTAGTAACTATTCCCAACTTTGGGATTTACATAGGCTCGAGGAACTCATACACCTTTGTTAGCCTCATTGATGCTACACAACTGTCAGTGTTCAACCTTAGCGTGTGATAACAATACTAGTGAGGTGCAGTTCGCAAACGATTCGTTCTTTTGGAACGACTCTTTTTACTGACTCGAGAGTCATGATTCATTTTTCTGAATGACTAGTTCACTTTGTTTATCTCCACCAACTGTCTGTCATATGTACGCAGGAAAATAGATAATGAGCACGTTTAGAAATGATAATCGCATGTTGCAAGAATGACTGCAATTAATTAATTATTGAATGTTATGATGGACACAGCTTTGTAGAACCAAAACATACACAGCCTCCACTCAACAAACAGTAACTCGAGAACGAATCATTTGGGGGGCTGCAGTTCGCGAACGGCTATGCCTATCACCTTTCCTGGCTACCCAGACTCCCTGCTCCAGCCAAACGCTACGCCATGCCCACGGACGTTAGTTTCTTCTCCGCAATGAGAAGTATAGCGAACGATAGAGCAGGCGAACAATTTAGTGTGAGTTGTAAGGCTACTAGACCTTGTTTCAAATGTATCAAGGAATAATCGTATTTATATGCCTAGCAATCAGCAAATGTACGTTGTTTAAAGTACATGTTTACAAGTCCCAGTCACAAATAACAGCTCCAATAAGCCCCCTATCGTGAACAACATGTGAACCAGAGTCTCGTAGAATCATGACTCTTTCGAGATTTCAGTTCATCGTTCGCCAGTAGGGGGTCCTGCGTGCTCTGAGCATTACTGACTCAAATTAGAGCATTACTGACTCAAATTAACAAAATGAGTCGCATGTTTTAAATATTCAATATATAAAAAAATTGAAAAAAATACTAAATAAGTCGAAAGATTCGTTCTTTTGACTGAACGAGACAAAAAAAGTCCGTAAAAAGAGCCGATCTTCCCATCAGTAGACAATACAACAGAACAGATTAACAGGAATTACTTTTACTCTTACAGATTGCCACGCCCCTACTAAGCCACGCCTCCACTCCAGGGTTCCTCCAGGAACCCATTGCTACATTGAACCATTAAAGGTTCCTCCAAGAACCCCCAAACTAACTGAAGGTGCAAATATGAACCATTGCCTAGCAATGGCTCCTTAAGGAACTCCATGGGTTCCTTGAGGATCTCCAGGGTTCCTCGAGTCACCACTAATTCTCTCTCTGGCTGATACAGAGCGACTCATCCATGCTTTTATTACAAGCAGGCTTGACTACTGTAATGCTCTTCTGTCTGGTCTACCCAAGAAAGCCATTGGTCAACTGCAAAACATACAGAATGCTGCAGCACCGGTACTAACCAAGACCAGAAGGAGAGCACATTTTACACCGATTTTAATGTATCTGCACTGGCTGCCTGTGAGTTTTATAATTAATTTGAAGATGCTTCTATTGGTTTTTAAATCAATCCATGATTGTGCACATGTCAGACATGCTTTTAAGTTATGTACCCAGTAGGGCCCTCAGGTCCACTGGCACTGGCCTTTTAACTATCCAAAGCCTAGGACCAAGAGGCATGGAGAGGCAGCCTTTAGTTACTACGCCCCCAGCCTCTGGAATAGCCTGCTAGAGAACCTGTGGGGGGCTGAAACTGTGGACATTTGAAAAAGAGATCATAAAACACACTCTTTTAGCTTTGCTTTTCCTTAGGGTGCTTTTCAGTCGTTCAGTTTTTATTGGTATTCTTTTGTTTTTTTATCCTCTTATGTTTGTTGTGTAGTAAATATTTCTGTTTTTATTTTCATTTTTTTATTTTTTTATTCCTGTAAAGTACATTGGGTTGCATTCCATGTCTGAAATGTGCTATATAAATAACGCTTGATTTGATTTGACTTGAAGAGTGTATAGCACCAAAAAGGATTCCGCTATGGTTACAAGCCAAAGAACCCGTATTTGGCACTATATAGAACCATTTGTTTTTAGTGTGTTCCGATAGGAAGGAAGAATGGGAAGGGGAAGGCTTAATTTGCGGATGGGGAAACCTGATGCTAATTAAATCTTTGGAATGTCACATACTGGCATTCTATTCCAGAAGCCTTCAGAGTGGGTCAGACATGGAGTGAGGGGAGCGATGCACGTTTCTAATTGTTTTCTTTTCTTATTGATGACATTCAAAAAGGGCATCCACACCAAATACCAGAGCCACAGGTAATGTTCCTTATTGTTTTGTCTGTTGGAGATTCCTTTGTCATATCTGGATTTTCAGGTAGCCTACTTTAACAATTATGGTTAAACAAGAAAATACATACGGGGAAACCAGCCTAAACCAAATCTAATTTAAACAAATAAGCATATCTATCCAAAATGTGACATTTTTTGCGCACTGGTGTCATAAGAGTGAAAAGATGCTGAAGTTTAAATCGTTTTCATTTTCTCCAGGGAGATAAACAAATGCAAAATGGCATTTTCCAAAGCAGTGCTGTTGTTAATGCTGTACTCGTTATCACTACATGACACAGTAAGAGGTGTCGCAGAGATATGCCGGGGGACGCACTGCCACGGTGGCGATACTGGGGATCCCAGACCCTGCATCGGAGCCCACTGCCCGGGGGGGAGATCGTCCAGACCTCCGCGGCAATATAATCCAACAACACAGGGCAGATCGGGACAGATAGTCCCCAGCCAGCACCATGCATACCCCAGCTCTCAGTCAAGAGGAGACACCCCAGACAAGTATGTTGTTCAACCACAGCGCGGTAGGCACAGTGACAGCGCTAGGGAAAGCGCAAGGATGCAAGCGTCTGAAGTTTTCGGTTCAGGATGTACTGGAGCGGATTGCGTTACTCCTCAGAAACAGCTCCACGCTATTAACGACACCAGAGACTGTAAAGGGATCGAATGTAAATTGCCACTAAGGATACGGCCAAAGCCCCGTCCAAAATATTGTGTGGGAGAGGGCTGTCTGGCTAGTTCTGAGGATGCCGCAGCCTCCAGCCAGCCTTCCCCTGTCCATATGGCGGACAGAGCTGCTCAATTTCTGGGAGAATTTCCAGAGTTTGGATATCCTGCATCTGAACTTGGCAGCGCGCCTTTGGGAGTGCAGCTCACATGTGACATTACACCAGGTTAGTATATAGCCACTTATCAATTTTATATTTTATGAAATATATTATAATTAGTGTTATAATGCATTTAAATACTACACTGTAACGGAATACTGTAAATTATATGGTAGTTTGAGGTATTATAAACAGTAAAATACTCTGAAACGTTTTCCTGCATCATACTGTACATTATGGTGCATCTTCCAGCCAATTGTGTTGAAAATAGGTTCATTATTTAAGGCTTTGATCAACACAGTGTACACTAGTGGCACCTGCTGGTCAAAATAATTTAGAGCTGCCAAATTATTATAGATGACATCCCACACCCGATAGTGCTAGCACTGCGTAGCCTTTTTGTCTTCTACCAAACAAAAACCAAACCAATCAGGTGGTTGTTCAACGAAACAAAGCTTCAGACATCATTGATCACGTGCTTCTGATTAAGCAATACAGGCATCGGCACACTGCTTCAAAGTACACTGCTTAGCAATTTCAACGCATGCCTCGGAGCTTCGGCATTAAACCTAACATCACTACTGTTTTGCCTTGTAGTCGCTGCCAGTTTGGAAGCCTTTGGTAAGGCCTCTAGAAGTGCAAGTGATATAAAAACCAAAATATTCATTAATAAACTGTAATGTGTAAACACTTTACCTAGCAGCCAACCTGCTTGCACCAATCCCTTGTAATTACAGTAAAATACAGTTAAATAAAAAACCCTCCCTCAATGAATTTCATTCATCCATTAATTCATTCTGATTACAGAAGCATTTACCTTCTTACAGTATAATACAGTACATTTTACGATATTGTACTGTGTGTCATTACACAGTACTTGCTTTGATACCATATTTATATTACAGTAGGTGTACTGTAATATGAAATACAGAATTTCACTTGTCACGAGCTGCCTGTAAGCTACTATCAAATTCACAGTAACACCTTTACAGTGTAGGCTATCTATTAAGAAAATTGTAATTGACAGATAAGGGAAGATGCATAGTGCATAAAGGGGTTCCAAATCGTGCCAGATTTAACTCCATGGACGTGTGCGTAATTTGGAACCCCTTTACACAATGCTTATGCAAAATAACCAAAGTAGTCTCATTCCAGAACAAGCGGTTTTGATAGCAATTTATTTTCCAGTAGGCTACGTAGATTTATGTTTAAAAATTACATGGTGAAATGGTAATCATATAATAACCCTTTAATTACTTTTCATTTATTTGGGATTCATTTAAACACGCAACATTAGGCATCATTGCTACCATCTTCTTGTGTTTGAGACCCAAGATTATGCATGCATTGACTGCAGTCCAGTTGAACTAGAAAAATATCTGGCAGTCAAGAAATCTTAGAATGCTTTGATGTCTATAAAAAGCCTGCATAGGGAACTTCCATTACTTGATGTTGGACTTTTAGATTTTGTGCCAAAATAGTTCTACAAAAATAAAAAAGTATTTAATCTCAAAAAGTGATGTATTATCATAACTTCACAGTATATTCTAATTTAGCATTAACCACAATTTCAGTAATGATTTGCTGAATTTTGAAGTCTAATCATCTTAGAGTACAGCAGCACATTATTAGTACTTGGGCCTCCTGAGTGGCACAGTGGTCTAAGGCACTGCATCGCAGTGCTAACTGTGCCACTAGAGATCCTGGTTCGAATCCACGACCGGGAGACTCATGGGCGGCGCACAATTGGCCCAGCGTCGTCCAGGGTAGGGGAGGGAATGGCCGGCAGGGATGTAGCTCAGTTGATAGAGCATGGCGTTTGCAACGCCAGGGTTGTGGGTTCGATTCCCACGGGGGGCCATAATAAAAAAATAAAAATAATAATGTATTCACTAACTGTAAGTCGCTCTGGATAAGAGCGTCTGCTAAATGACTAAAATGTAAATGTACTTGATTCCAGTTTAATAGCTAGCTATACATAGTATTTTTTGGAATTAACATCCCAGTCACAGTTCCATATCCTTTCCCTGACTACTCCACACTATAAACCCTGCTTGCCCTATTCCATTTCACAGGGGAGAACGAGGTGCCTTCAGAGGATGCCCTCATTTTACACCTCCAACTGGCTAAGGGGCAGGAGAAGCTGGTGGAGGCCCTTCGGGCACAGCAAACGATCATCCGCGACCTGCAGCAAAAGCTAGCCGAACAGCAGGGGGCGCTGTTGGACCAGCAGCGGGAGATCCTGGAGCAGCAGCGGCGCATGTACGAGCAGATGAACATGGTCAAGGCACAGTACGGCTTGCTCTCTGACACCGTCAAACAGGTGTCCTTCCAAGGCCTCCAAGGGGAGCTTCAGAGCTACTTCGAGAGCCACCTGGCAGGCCTCCAGAGCCAGGCTCGGAGCCACCTGCAGAAGTCCTACGCCATTCGCAAGGACATGCACATGGATGTGGATGCTAAGTTGATGGATGTGGTCGGGGAAGCCCACCTTCCGCACCCCCTGCTGGGGTGTGGCGCCCCGTGTGGACCAGAGGATTACTGTGACTTCCAGAGGGAGCCGCCGCAGTGTGAGAAGTGTACCATGTGCCCACCTGGGTTCTTCCTGGTCTCCCAGTGCTCTCCCAATGCAGACAGAATATGCCAGGACAGAGATGAATGTCTTGAATTACCAAACCTATGTGGACAGGGAGTGAAGTGCCTCAACACTCCAGGTAAGGCTTACAAACATTTCTAAATTGTAATTAGACATGATATCCAACATGGTTCCATAAATCTTTTTACTGAATAGCCAACTAAGAGTATCAAGCAATTTGGCACATGCTCATATTTCTGATCTCCTTCTCCCATCTCTTTGTCGTTGTTTGATGCTGAGCAGGAGGGTTCAGGTGCCTGGGCATGTCGGAGAGGGAGGCTGCTGCTGGGGTATGTGGCCATGACTACTTCTACAACCAGGAACTTCAGGAGTGCCAGGCTTGTTCTGACTGCAATGGAGACCCCATTGCCATCCCCTGTACAGCCACCAGCAATTCTGTCTGTGGACCCTTCACAGACAACCTGATGTCCCAGTCCTGGGGTGCCACCGTGACCTTGCCCCCAGCCAGGGCCCCTGGCAGCCACATCTTCCCTGGCCTCCAGCTCAATGTCCGGAGCAAAGAAGCCAGCGACTTGCTGTCCAACCACGCCGGCCGGCTAACCTTCCAGCAACACGGCTTGATATGGCTGGACCATAACTTTGCCCTAAAGCACAACTGCAGGAACTTCCTCCAGGTGGGCATGCGGCTCAACGGCAGTCAAGAGGAGGACCACGACCTCAGTGGGGTCCGCATTGAGCAGTCAGACGGGAAGTATTTCCAGGGCATTAGCGTTAGTGGCAGCGCAGAGGTTGAGCCCAACCACATGCTGACACTGTTCCTGAAGAGTCCCACCCAGCATTGCAACCAGAGTAAGGACCTGCACGTCTATGAACTCAACGGGCCTTCCTTCAGCCTGCTCTGGCTGTCCCACGATACTGGAGCCGTGGCCATGACGGCACAGATGTCAATGTCGGCCCACTACCAGACCAACTACCGTCCAACCTTCCGCATCACCTCCGTCTCTGATCCTTACATGGTGGGGTTGACCCACGACAGCCGTGGGGTGCGCTTCACCGAGAGTGGCGTGGTGAAGTTTGTCCTACAGCAAGCGCTGTACTCCATGGGCCACACCTGCGTCCGTGAGGGCTTCTCCCTGGTGGCCTACGCCAACCGCAACGGGACCAACCAGGAATTGATGCAGGCATTCAAGTCAGGCGTCAACTACAGGGACACATCCATCACCCTTTCTGGGGCTGTCAGTGTGGATAGTGGGCACTCGCTTAGTTTCGAGATCCTATCCCCGTCCCAGTGTAATATCCGCTACTTTGGAGACAGTACTGGGATCAGTATACTGAGCCTTATCTGGATCCCCTCAGCTGTCTCCTCTGCCCTGACTGCCACAGTTTCCAGGACAGGCCTTCCCTCTGGAGCTGTCCGCAACAAAGCCCTCCTCTTCCAGCAGGTCAGTCCGGAATCAGACCAAGTGCGCCTGGCCCGTTCTGGGGAACCCAACGCCCAAAAGAACATTGTCTTCTGGGGGGATGGGACAGCTAACGTGGCCCTCAACCTGAAGCTGATCCATTCGTGTAATGTAGTGAAGCTCACCCTGCACCGGCAGGGGGGCAGCGGGGAGGGTGGCCAGGCAAAACCCGTGGCCCAGCAGGTGTCTGGGCACATGCCTGAGGGCAGCGAGTGGGCCAACGTGGGCCTGAGGGCCTCCTTCCAGGTCCAGAATGGTACAGCCATCTATGTGACACTGGACTGCATACGTGGTCGTGTTAACCAGATCACCCACAAGGGTGGCACTAACATATCCATCCTCTGGGTGGCATTGTGATCCAAAAAGAGGACCTTTTTTTGTTGACTTTGTCACATTTTGTCAACGCGTCTTATAAACTAACATGGTTTCGCACAATTTCAAATTACAGAGCAAACTTGGAAGGTAGAGGAACTTTTTTGAAATGGAAAGGTTGTGTTTTGTCTAATGTTAATATTTTTGTCATGTTAATGTTGTTTGTTAATGTTGTTTGGATCTTGTTTTTGATACTTTGTTGATTAATTGATTATTTTCGGATTACAAGTACTGATTTTGGTTGAGCATTGACCAATTATTTTGTATGGAGTAAGCTGAATGATGTGTGTGTTTTTATAATGTTTATTATGCCATATCTTATTCCATCAATTTCCTGCACATGAATATGAAATGTTGCCTTTCTATGCGTGTGTACTACAGAGTATTTTGATAAAAGATCAATTCAATATTTTAAATGTATTATATTTAACTTTCACCAAGCTGTTATTTTTATTTCATATTTTCAATGATGACTTATTCTGAATGTTATGTCACTTAACATAATAGTAGTGTAAAATAGGAAAACATTAGTATCGATATACTATTGGAAACAATACCTTACTTCATAACCAGAATTGTACTTCAATCTCTTTTGATAAAACAAACAATCACAGTTGTGTCATGTATGCCAAACAATAGAATGATGTTACAAATATTGATGTGACCATGGAGCTACAGTATAAGTGTAGTATACATTACATTTACAGATTATTATAATTTTTACATTAGCTAATTCACACAAATCAGGTTTTATGTAGCAAAAATATGTTAACCGTTAACTACATAATGTATGTTATACTTTAGCCTCAATACTCTTGGCCCTGTGGAAGTGCTGCCTATGCATAGCATTCTTAATTGCCTTTGTGTCTAATTGTTTGGGGGACAGAACACGCACAATGAAGTGTTTCAGCGATTTGGCAGCGAAGTAAAGCGGTCGGTCACTGAAATTCTTCTGCTTTATTTTCACTTCACTATGCAATGCTTGGTGATTTGTTTTACTTCACATGTACCATAGAACAACAATGAGTGTATTTTTTTTTTCAAAGCCAAATAAAATTCACAGATATTTTGTAAGACGTTGATTCTCACACTTGCTGGAAAATAATATGTTCCAAAAAGTGATGAAGTGGTCAGCATCTTAAGTGTGATTTTTGGGATGAGATGAGATTGATTGAGATGTCATTCATGTAGAAAATGTATGTCCTGATAGAGACTTTCATAAAAATTTGAATGACAGCACACAGACTCACCTCCACCATGTGACTGCATCACATGATATGAGCCGAATTCTTCAGTCTTGTCAACCATGATAGCTTTAAAACTGACTCCACCATCATACATTAACTACCCAGTATTTTCCACAGTTTAAATAGAAAACGTAACATTCAGACATTACTCATGTCATGGAGTCCCAAACATATTGAACCTATTTGAAATCAACTTTTTGAGCAAGGTAGGTGTCCAAATTGCAGACAAAATCATACAATTCTACTAATTATTGGTCTTAATCATTTTAGAATCAATCCATCATATTTATTGGAATTAAACTATCCCTCTCCAAACATGACTAATAGTGGCTGAATCGTAACGAAAACTCTGATTGTGAGAAATAATGTTTATGTCTGCAGTTTTTTATTGAAAACAGGTGTTTGAGTGGAGTGCTGCTCCAGATGTCTCATGTTGTAGATCAAATGGGACCCACAGTGCATGAGGGGAAATATCAAAGGCAGCAGAGACGGAGCTGTGTGTGTGTGTGAGAGTGAGAGAGAGACAAAGAGAAAGAGAGAGTGAGAACGAGAGAGAGGATGTCTGTGTCCATCTGCCTGTATGTGTACATGTGCACGTGTACGTACATCGTGCACGTGTCTAGGGCAAAACAATATTGTGCATTATAAACTATGGACAGTTAAGACAGAAGTAGTAAAACAGAATTTTTCACTTTTTAATGTGAACCATGTGTTTCTTCTACATTTTTCATACTTAACACTCAACTGTTTGACACAAATCAAACGTGTGTAACAGTCACTGTTAGTGCAGTATCGTTTAAAGATTGACCGTTAAGGTGTCATGAAACCTGAATCACTGTAAACCTATCCAGTGGTGTTTGGAGAGGTCTCTGGCCTACAAAAGAGACGTCATTCACCACCACAAAGCATATAAACTCAGCAAAAAAAGAAACATCCTCTCACTGTCAACTGCGTTTCTTTTCAGCAAACTTAACATGTGTAAATATTTATATGAACATAACAAGATTCAACAACTGAGACATATACTGAACAAGTTCCACAGACATGTGACTAACAGAAATGGAATAATGTGTCCCTGAACAAAGGGGGGTTCAAAATCAAAAGTAACAGTCAGTATCTGTTGTGGCCACCAGCTGCATTAAGTACTGCAGTGCATCTCCTCCTAATGGACTGCACCAGATTTGCCAGTTCTTGCTGTGAGATGTTACCCCACTCTTCCACCAAGGCACCTGCAAGTTCACTGACATTTCTGGGGGGAATGACCCTAGCCCTCACCCTCCGATCCAACAGGTCTCAGACGTGCTCAATGGGATTGAGATCTGGCCTCTTCGCTGGCCATGGCAGAACATTGGCATTCCTGTCTTGCAGGAAATCACGCACAGAATGAGCAGTATGGCTGGTGGCATTGTCATGCTGGAGGGTCATGCCAGGATGAGCCTGCAGGAAGGGTACCACATGAGGGAGGAGGATGTCTTCCCAGTAACACACAGCGTTGAGATTGCAATGACAACAAGCTCAGTCCGATGATGCTGTGACACACCGCCCCAGACCATGACAGACCCTCCACCTCCAGATCTGTGAAGTTATTTGGATTTTTACAAATTATCTTTGAAAGACAGGGTCCTGAAAAAGGGGCGTTTCTTTTTTTGCTGAGTTTATATGCAGTGAGTTTATTTACCCTCTTATGGCTTAACCAATGATGTACAGTACCCGTCAAAAGTTTGGACACACCTACTCATTCAAGGGTTTTTCTTTATTTTTACTATTTTATACATTGTAGAATAATAGTGAAGACATCACAACTATGAAATAACACATATGGAATCATGTAGTAACCAAAGAAGTGTTAAACAAATCAAAATATATTTTATATTTGAGATTGTTCAAATACCCACCCTTTGCCTTGAAGACAGCTTTGCACACTATTGGCATTCCCTCAACCAGCTTCATGAGGTAGTCACCTGGAATGCATTTCAATTAACAGGTGTGCCTTCTTAAAAAGTAAATTTGTGGAATTGTTTCCAAGGACCACGATTGTACAGGACAAACATACACTACCCGTCAAAAGTTTGGACACACCTACTCATTCAAGTTTAATTTTTTATTATTGTAGAATAATAGTGAAGACATCAAAACTATGAAATAACACATATGGAATCATGTAGTAACCAAAAAAAGTGTTAAACGAATCAAAATATATTTTATATTTTTCAAATAGTCACCCTTTGCCTTGATGACAGCTTTGCACACTCTTAGCATTCTCTCAACCAGCTTCATGAGGTAGTCACCTGGAATGCATTTCAATTAACAGGTGTGCCTTGTTAAAAGTTAATTTGTGGAATTTCTTTCCTTCTTAATGCGTTTGAGCCAATCAGTTGTGTTGTGACAAGGTAGGGGTGGTATACAGAAGATAACCCTATTTGGTAAAAGACCAAGTACATATTATGGCAAGAACAGCTCAAATAAGCAAAGAGAAACGACAGTCCATCATTACATTAAGACAAGAAGGTCAGTCAATACGGAACATTTCAAGATATTTGAAAGTTTCTTCAAGTGCCGTCGCAAAAACCATCAAGCTCTATGATGAAACTGTCTCTCATGAGGACCGCCGCAGGAAAGGAAGACCCAGAGTTACCTCAGCTGCAGAGGAAAAGTTCATTAGAGTTACCAGCCTCAGAAATTGCAACTCAAATAAATGCTTCACAGAGTTCAACTCACAGACATCTCAACATCAACTGTTCAGAGGGGACTGTGTGAATCAGGCCTTCATGGTCGAATTGCTGCAAAGAAAGCACTACTAAAGGACACCAATAAGAGGAAGAGACCTGCTTGGGCCAAGAAACACAAGTAATGGACATTAGACAGGTGGAAATTTGTCCTTTGGTCTGATGAGTCCAAATTTGAGATTTTTGGTTCCAACCGCCATGTTTCTGCGAGACGCGTGTGGGTGAACGGATGATCTCTGCATGTGTTGTTCCCACCGTAAAGCATGGAGGAGGAGGTGTTATGGTGTGGGAGTGCTTTGCTGCTGACACGGTCTGTGATTTATTTAGAAATCAAGGCACACTTAACCAGCATGGCTACCACAGCATTCTGCAGCGATACACCATCCCATCTGGTTTGGGCTTAGTGGGACTGTCATTTGTTTTTCAACAGGACAATGACCCAACACACCTCCAGGGCTATTTTACCAAGAAGGAGAGTGATGGAGTGCTGCATCAGATGACCTGGCCTCCACAACCCAATTGAGATGGTTTGGGATGAGTCGAATGGCAGAGTGAAGGAAAAGCAGCCAACAAGTGCTCAGCATATGTGGGAACTCCTTTAAGCCGTTTAGAAAAACATTCCAGGTGAAGCTGTTTGAGAGAATGCCAAGATTGTGCAACACTGTCATCAAGGCAAAGGGTGGCTATTTGAAGAATCTCAAATATAAAATATATTTTGATTTGTTTAACACTTTTTTGGTTACTACATGATTCCATATGTGTTATTTCATAGTTTTGATGTCTTCACTATTATTCTACAATGTGGACTTCAAAAGCCTTTGAAGCCATCGGTTGGCCATATTGGCACACCTCAGAAATGCAGTCCTCCATAGGAATGAATGGAAGGACAAAAGTACATGTATTTAAGAAAACAAAAATTTGCAGTGGGGACAGTAACATTAGTACTTTCTTTTTATTTTTTATTTTTTTTATCTTTATGTTTAGCTCACATAATACAATTTAAAAGTATGCATTAAGGTAGGTCTCTGTAATATAATAAATGTGGCAAAAACGAATGTATATATTTATAATTGCATTTCTATAGCTTACAAAATATGTTTTACAAATGTGGGGGAGTGTCAAGATGGAGGCTTGGTGGCTTCAAAACAGCGCCCCCTTTCAGTCATCTAGTGTATACAGTGCCTTCGGAAAATATTTAGACCCCTTGACTTTTTCCACATTTTGTTACGTTACAGCTTTATTCTAAAATTGAGAAAATCGTTTTTTTTCCCCCTCATCAATCTACTCACAATACCCCATAATGACAAAGCAAAAACAAGGTTCACCTGTTGGAAGGTGAACCTTAGCCCCAGTCTGAGGTCCTGAGCACTCTGGAGCAGGTTTTCATAAAGGATCTCTCTGTACTTTGCTCCGTTAATCTTTGCCTCAATCTTGACTAGTCTCCCAGTCCCTGCTGCTGAAAAACATCCCCACAGCATGATGGTGCCACCACCATGCTTCACCGTAGGGATGGTGCCAGGTTTCCTCCAGATGTGACACTTGGCATTCAGGCCAAAGAGTTCAATCTTGGTTTCATCAGACCAGAGAATCTTGTTTCTCATGGTCTGAGAGTCTTTAGGTGCCTTTTGGCAAACTCCAAGGCGGGCTGTCATGTGCCTTTTACTGAGGAGTAGCTTCCGTCTGGCCACTCTACCATAAAGGCCTGATTGGTGGAGTACTGCAGAGATGGTTGTCCTTCTGGAAGGTTCTCCCATCTCCACAGAGGAACTCCGTCAGAGTGACCATCGGGTTCTTGGTCACCTCCCTGACCAAGGCCCTTCTCCCCCGATTGCTCAGTTTGGCCAGGCGGCCAGCTCTAGGAAGAGTCTTGGTGGTTCCAAACTTCTTCCATTT